GTCTCTCTCTCTTTTTATTTGGATTTCAACATGCTCGCCACCTCTCTCAGTTTTAACATCAAGTGAAAGCACAAAAACCACAGTCTAAAAACACACTCCTGTTACTCAAATTACAAATAGCAGTCGGGAACTCAGAGTGTTTCTCACACACACATTCATTCAGACACAATGCAATTCAAATGGCTTTGATAACAATTCAGACGTAAGGACGAATTGTAATAGAAAAATACAAGAAAGTTCCAAATTAGAAAGGGAATGTAAAGGATAATGGACTAATTTAGCACAAAAGCTACTTCTAAAGGGTTTTATTCATGTGAAAGTATTGCTAAATTCAGTTTTGATCAATAATAAATACACGTTGAAGCCTTTTAATGTTGTAGTGTATCAAGGTAGAACACATCTAAGTACTGTGCATACTATTAAGTCGATTTTATATCACGTCTTGGAGGAAGAAATGCCACAAAAATGTCGTCTTACTTGCATTTAAGGTCACAATTAAAAGTTGTTAAAGACCAAAACGCCCTAACTAGAAAGAGTGTATTTTCCTTTTTCTCAGAACGAACATATTCATCGACTTCTAAAACTAATATTAACTGATTATCCTAAAAACTGACCTTTCATTTTGGTAGTTTCTCAAAGTCTGGACACTGTTGATCCAGAACAAACGAGAACAACTCTAACTTACCTGAATACCAAAAGCTGAAACATTATTAAATAACTCTAACTATTCAGAAAGTAAAATAATCCCATTGTGTGCTGAAAACAGGAAAACAGGAAGTGTGTGTGTGTGAGAGGAGTGTGTAAACACTTAAGGAATCATCAAGTATAGGACATCATCATTCTTTGTGTGTGTGTGTGTGTGTGTGTGTGTGTGTGTGTGTGTGTGTGTGTGTGTGTGTGTGTGTGTGTGTGTGTGTGTGTGTGTCCTGATGTTTGGTTTCCTGTGGGCTGATTAAAGGAAACAGCTTCAGAGTTTCTGTTTCTCGGAAAAAATGTAATGATTTCTGCTCGGCGGAGAAAACAGAAATACGAATCAACAGCAGATAAAAACTTAAAATACTGACAGTGTTTAAGAGGTTTATTTCTCTTTCTTCGATCACGATGCTGCACATTCTTATCTTTTGTACCTGGAAAACTTGAGTCATGTGACCGTGCTGTAGTTCCTTTATAGCCCAACATTAGCCGCCTTTAGCTTAGCGGTGGTGACGTGAAGTCATGTGACCGTGCTGTAGTTCCTTTATAGCCCAACATTAGCCTCCTTTAGCTTAGCGGTGGTGACGTGAAGTCATGTGACCGTGCTGTAGTTCCTTTATAGCCCAACATTAGCCTCCTTTAGCTTAGCGGTGGTGACGTGAAGTCATGTGACCGTGCTGTAGTTCCTTTATAGCCCAACATTAGCCGCCTTTAGCTTAGTGGTGGTGGCGTGAAGTCATGTGACCGTGCTGTAGTTCCTTTATAGCCCAACATTAGCCGCCTTTAGCTTAGTGGTGGTGGCGTGAAGTCATGTGATCGTGCTGTAGTTCCTTTATAGCCCAACATTAGCCGCCTTTAGCTTAGTGGTGGTGGCGTGAAGTCATGTGACCGTGCTGTAGTTCCTTTATAGCCCAACATTAGCCGCCTTTAGCTTAGTGGTGGTGGCGTGAAGTCATGTGACCGTGCTGTAGTTCCTTTATAGCCCAACATTAGCCGCCTTTAGCTTAGCGGTGGTGACGTGAAGTCATGTGACCGTGCTGTAGTGCCTTTATAGCCCAACATTAGCCTCCTTTAGCTTAGCGGTGGTGACGTGAAGTCATGTGACCGTGCTGTAGTTCCTTTATAGCCCAACATTAGCCGCCTTTAGCTTAGCGGTGGTGACGTGAAGTCATGTGACCGTGCTGTAGTGCCTTTATAGCCCAACATTAGCCACCTTTAGCTTAGCGGTGGAGACGTGAAGTCATGTGACCGTGCTGTAGTTCCTTTATAGTCCAACATTAGCCACCTTTAGCTTAGCGGTGGTGACGTGAAGTCATGTGACCGTGCTGTAGTTCCTTTATAGCCCAACATTAGCCGCCTTTAGCTTAGCGGTGGTGACGTGAAGTCATGTGACCGTGCTGTAGTTCCTTTATAGCCCAACATTAGCCACCTTTAGCTTAGCGGTGGTGACGTGAAGTCATGTGACCGTGCTGTAGTTCCTTTATAGCCCAACATTAGCCGCCTTTAGCTTAGCGGTGGTGACGTGAAGTCATGTGACTGTGCTGTAGTTCCCTTATAGCCCAACATTAGCCACCTTTGACCCTTTAATTAACTCTCTGGGAGTCCGTTGGTCTCCATTTTCACCGAAGGAGTTCACAGTTTAACATGAGGACATGTGTGTGTGTGTGTGTGTGTGTGTGTGTGTGTGTGTGTGTGTGTTTGTGTGTGTGTGTGTTGAAGAGACAAAGCCGACCAGGTGAACAGCAGGTGAGCCAGAGTCTGAAGTTCTCTCCACTCTCCTGCTGTCAGTGAGTATGTGTGTGTGTGTGTGTGCGTGTGCGTGTGTGTGTGCGTGTGTGTGCGTGTGTGTGTGCGTGGCAGCAGCTACTACTCATTAACCAGGAGACTCCGTATCAATAACAAAAACAGTGAAACTCTGAATGAAACAGTTACCAGATGTTTTAGGAAACCTTCATACCCAATCAATTATATAGGCTATCTGTGTTTTGAAAGATGTTTGTAGAAACCAATGGGCTTGTTTTAGGAAACAGTATTGAGAGAAGAACGTTATTTGTTTGGTTCTAATATCAGGAATAATGGCAAATACCTTGATATCAAAACGTCAGGAGTTTGAAATCAAAGAGTTTAAGATTTTGGTTTTGGCTTCAATTCAAACTCAAATCTGAATTACTTAATTTATTCCAAGGAGTTGGATAATTCAGTATTGTAATGATATTGAATCTCACAGTGTGACACAGTGACAGTGTCTACGTAACAAGGGCAGAAGCATCAACACAAAACAACGAGATGGGATTAATGGATCTCTGTGAAATGTGAATAAATAAAACGCCTTGGGGGCAATGTGATAATCGGCCGATGGTTATCGGAGGCGTGTGTTACTGTCTGATAACTGCGCGGCTCAGCGGGGATTATCCTAAAGCTTCTGCAGGATTTTCGATCTCTTGTGTTTCCTCTGAATTTCAGCAGAACACACACACACACACACACACACATACACACACACACACACACACGCACACGCACGCACGCACGCACGCACACACACACACACACACACACACACACACACACACACACACACACACACACACACACACACACACACACACACACACACACACACACACACACACACACACACACACACACACACACACACACACACACAGAGAGAGAGAGGCCCATGACCAAAGAGCTTATATCAGCAGGTGCTGCCAGGGTGTGTTTTGTCAGAAACAGCAATTCAGAGGAAGCTTTTTCAACCCTTTTTATCCTCACTTTCACACATTCGTAACCGTGTTCTTGACCCACTTGTGTTTTCTAACCAGTTTATTGATTATTTATCAGGTCACGTTTATTAGGATGTGTTTTTGATTCAGATTTTAGAGCAAAAGAAACCCCAACATTGAATGGATTTCCCGGTAATGTTGCTGTAACACTGCTACCAGAGGAGGATGGACTAGAATAGAATAGAATCATTGAATGTCATTAAACAATGAAATAAAGAAAAGCTTCTCCCTTTTAAAAGGTGCCATCAAAACAAAAACATCACAACATACGACAACAAATACACGCAAAGTGCAGTGATTATTCCAGGGGTATACAAAAACAATGTAATAAATAATAATAATAATAGGTATGTATGTACTTGGTGGAGCGTCTCCTCTTATTCAATCTGTCGGACCCAAAATGCCTAGTTTCCTGTGTTTTTTCATGTGATTATTGCCATTGTTTGTTAAAGGGGATCTATCATGCAAAATGCACTTTTTGATGTCTGTTATACATCAACATGTGTCCCCGGTGTGTGGGGGAACTCACGCAGCGTCAGGAAATAAAACCCTCTCTCTTTTCCTCCGTACCCAAATCTCTAACGGCCCGTCCACACTACAACTTCGACAGCTTCAAAAACGGTTTCCAACGCGTCTGCCTATTCACTTTGAATGGGGTGACGTCATGTTGCCTCGCTTTTCGCCGAACTGAATTGTGGGTAGCATAGCGGTCCGTCTCCAGCGTCTCCAGCGTCAGAAGTTGAACAATGTTCAACTTCTGACGCCGGAGACGCCGGAGTAGCCAGCGCCAGCCAATCAAATCATATGCCAGTACAAGCTCTAGCCAATCAAACCGCTGCTTGTGTGTCAGGGGCGGGAGATTCATGTGATTGGTTGTTGGTCGAGCTTCAGACGCGCCCAGCTCCAAGCTTTTTTTGAAGCTGTACTGTGGACGGGCCGTAACATCTGATCCAGATTAGCGTCCGATATGACGTAATATCTGAAATGTGGACCCACGGCCCAATCAGAAACGTTGCTATCAGAAACAATGCCCGACTGTTTTGGACGTAATATGGTCGGTATTTACATTAGCATCGCTAACACTCAGAGCTAACCTTTTTACATCAATATGTAGCTTATGTGCATATGACAATAACACTTTTGAATCTTGAATGAATTGAGTCAATATGTGACACAGTGTAAGAAAATGAAACAACACAATGACCATGTACCCTTGTGAGCTGTGAACCCTAATTTAATTTGATCGCATGTTGTTGATGATATTGGTGATGTTTTTAATGTTGTTAATGATGTCAGGACTTATGTCCTAAATGTTGCTGTATTATTGTTGTATTATTGTTGTATTGTTTTAAGTGTCGGACCCCAGGAAGAGTCGAGAGCAAAAGCTAATGGGGATCCTTAATAAACATAAATAAACATCAATATGTAGCTTATGTGCATATGACAATAAAACCTTTGAATCTTGAATGAATTGAGTCAATATGTGACAGTGTAAGAAAATGAAACAACACAATGACGTTATTTTACTAATTTATTTCTGAAAAAATATATTTCTTGATTCTGACAGAGACAATAACATAGACATATACAATTCTCTTTCATAAATACACAATTATTTACAAAAAGGCAAAATTAAATATGGAAAAACTATTTTCTGGAGGATATGTACACATTGCATTGCTTTCTTAAATTAACAAAGATAATACAAAGACACGACTACACAGAAACGACACGTATTTTTGGTATCAAATAGATTAGGTCATTAAAAAAAGGAATACAAAACTCTCTCCGTGGTCCTTCAAGGTCTTTCTTTTTCTCCAAAAATAACCACTTAATACCCGGAGCTGTGCCTGTGATGCAGAACAGCAGCTGGTGTATTTCAATGACTTGCAGTGGTTGATAAAGGCAGCAAGTTTTAGCTTTTTGATTCATAAAAAAATAAAATTGGTATAAAAATAAACGTGGTAGAATCACAGGAAGACAAACGGAAAAGCGATGATATGATTTGCAAGATGAATCCAGCTTGGCTAGACCTTCATCCAGCCTACTTTTCTTTTCGTATATATTTGATAAATTGTCAAAAGGTAGATTATCTGTTCATGAGGTGAACGTGTGGGAAACAGCTGGTGGTTGATAGAGTTACCAACTCTTTAAAATAAATGTCTCCAGTGATACATGTTTCCTGGGCTTGTAAAATACAGGATTCGTGACAGGATTAAAGTCATTGGATTGGAGTCCTGTTGCAGAAGAGGCACTTCAGAGTCTGCAGGATTGTAAGATTTCTTCTAACAGGCCACAATGTGATGCTTCACTTTCAAAGAAAGCAAAACAGAGAAGAAAATGGACGGAGTCACAGAGCTGTCCACTTCAGCTTTCAGACGGGAAAACTTCAGGTGGTTTAATCTCAGATAAAAAAGTTTCTGTCTCCATTTCTTGTAGAAAAATGTCCTCTGATGATTAGGAGATTGTACAGGACACACGACGATAAGGAAGCTAAGGCACCGGTCTTTCCGATTGGTTGTAAAGTATTTTTCATCCAAAGGAAATACAGATACACAGACAGGGATATTATATTAAGATTTAAGAGTATAAAAAAAGACAAATAGTGCAAATGACGCCGGACATTCACTCCCTCCTCTCTCTTCTTCTTTCTTTCTTTTCATTTCAGAATCATTGTCATCCGATCATTGTCAATATCGAAGCAGAAAACAAGTCCTTTTTCTTTTTGTTTCTTTCCATTGAGCAGCAGTAATAAATATTAAATAACATTATGTGTAGAATAGATCCTCTGGATGTCGAAGTTTGAGGTCTTCAGCGTGAAAGTTGGTGTGGAGGTTAAACCTGTGAAGAGAGAGAGAGAGAGAGAGAGAGAAACAGCGGTTAGTCATCAGCGTACAGGACGATTTCTTATGGGTCAAATTGAACAAACACAGCTTTATTTATATGAATTGTTTTGTGTCTCACCTCAGTAGCAAACACACACTGCTCCATCTTCTCCGGGATGATGTAAACCGGTTGATAAAGACTGTCCTTTCCAAACGCAAGAGGAGGAACGATGATGCTCGAGTCACGCTTTTTACTGCAGGAGAAAACAGAGAGATGGGGTTATTACTCTGGAAACATTTCGCAAGAAGTCATTTGTCTACAGAACAGATGAGATTTCAGAGAAGGAAGCAAAGAAAGGATGAAACTTGAAACCATCATTAGGTTCTTACAGGTCAAACTTGGCCAGGCGTTGCTCGTCTTTAGCCAGGTTACAGTCTGCCATCTTGTTTCTGAAAATACCCATGCTGTCTCCACCGTTCTCCACCAGCGCTGCGTTCTTATTGGACACTTTAAGTTGCCCCCCAGGTATGAGGAAGGCCTCCTTTTCCCTCAGTGGTGACCCTGGTAGTCCACCAATCATTGCGTTGCGATTGTTCACCGCCTCCAGGTCGTTCTTCACCGACCGGGTGATAGCCGTTAGCTTCCTGCCGCGGTGCAGCTGCCTCAGAATGTGAACGCCAACAACAACAAGCAGAATTAACGTCACGATACCAAGAGCGACGGCGGCGATCAACGCTGGAGACGAATCCTTATCTGGAGGAGTTGCAGTTGGTTGGTTGTATTCACATCTAGCACCCATGAAACCCATTGGACATTGGCACACTGGGCCGGTGTAATGTGTGAAACATTTCCCGCCGTTTTCACACGGGAACTGGTCGCAGGGACTGGTTCGCACGGAGCAATCTTTTCCGGTGAATCCGAGCGTGCACGTGCAGGTGAAATCGTTGATGCCGTCCACGCAGGTGCCGGCGTTTCGGCAAAGGTTGCTGGAGCAATCGTCGATGTTTGTTTCGCAGCGAAGGCCCGAGAAACCGGGGCGACATCGGCACATGACTCGATTACCGTGGTCCAGACACTGAGCACCTTTAGAGAGAAAGACAGAGGAGAGTTTAGTTAACAATGCAAACTTAAAAAGATAAGATATTGCACTTTTCATTTTCATTCATTTCACACAGGGTAAAAATAGAAAACAAATTAAAATACAGCAAAAATAAAGTGATAAAGTGAAAAAGTAACTATTAAAACAAGATATCAAAGTAAAAAGTTGTGCATTTGTATGAACATGTTAAATATATTTACATAAAGAATAGATAGATAGATAGATAGATAGATAGATAGATAGATAGAGAGATAGATAGATATATAGATAGATAGAGAGAGAGAGAGATAGATAGATGGAGAGAGAGATAGATGGATAGATAGATAGATAGATGGATAGATAGATAGATAGATAGAGAGATAGATAGATAGATAGATAGATAGATAGATAGATAGATAGATAGATAGATAGATAGAGAGATAGATAGATAGAGAGATAGATGGATAGGAGTTAAAGGTAGGGTAGGTAAGAATGGAGAAACCAGCTCGAGTGCGTAAAGTAAACAACCGGAAAAAATCTGCCCCTTCCTTCAGACTTCCTTACAGAGCTCCTCCTCCAACACACACGGACGCGCACATGACCAATGAGGACACGAGATCAGTTTGTGCACAGATGGAAGGCTGACAGGCAGGTAGGCCATTCAGTTACTTTAGCCGGCTCAGATGATTGGTCGTGCTTTTTACAGCGCCACGGCTTCCACAGATGACATTTTTTTATGTATTTATTGTCAAAGCATTTAAGATATTCATTGCTATCGGGATGTTAAGAGCATTCCATGGAATATAACAAAAAGTGTTTCTGAAATAAATTAACCCACCTTTAAGTATGTAAGCTAAATAAAATTGGCAGATCTAAACGTATTAGATTACATATTTTTAACAGCATGTGAATTTAAAAAACAGAGGACCAAGGATGGAGCCTTGTGGGACGCCAGAGTCAAGACTTAATATTAGCATTAGCACTAAAAAAGAGAGTGGTGAAGAGGGAGGAACACATGTTTTTTACATTTCCTCTCAACAGCTGACACTCATCAGGAGTGACATGTGTGTGTGATAAGAAACATCCTGAGGGAATGTTTTCCAGTATCAGTGGAGTTTACTATAAAACACTGAAGAGCTTTTGTGAATTAGGAACAGACCAGCTGTAATGCACAGAATTATCTAATTTCCCACAATTATGTTCATGGAGATCTCTAACGATCGCTTGGTGTGGCAGGGATTTAAAGCTTGCAAACCCATTTCTGTTCGACATTTAACTGGGAAAGGAAGGAGGCGAGAGGATTTAAGGACACTAGTTTTGCAACGACTGTGGGTTCGACACACTCAGGCTCAAACTGCAGAATACATGCTGTAAAAACAAACTCCTGAATCAGCTCCATATTTGGTTGTTCTGTGCAGCTGATGTGTTGCAACACTGCAAGCAGAGCAAAGCTACCAGCAACCACTCTGCAGTTATGAGAGGCTTTTCCCCCTGTCAAGCTCGCTGAGAGGCAGGAATGATTACAGATTGAAGATAAACAGGCGGCGGGTTTCTGCAGACTAATGAGGACCTATGGGACGACTGAAAACTGAGCTGGGACCCTCAGAGACAACTCAAAACGATAACTGTGTAATATTCAGGTGATAAAGTTGTTGTTGCAAGGAGCCGTCTGATCCTGATGATCTGTCTGCTTCAACAGAAAATACATGAGAACAGGTGGAGGAGGTTGTAAAAACATTGCTACTCTTAAACCTTTAATACCTGATTTGTAACAACCCTTAATAGTTGGAAGAATTTCAAATGAAGCTTGCAGAAACTTGTTCCACCACATGTCACCCAATGAAAACTAATGGTATGCTTTGTAAAAGAGCAATTTACCTGCAGTAAACGTGCATCCAAACATGGTGCACAAACAGTTTGCGTGCCAAAGCGAGGTGCAACGGACTGAGTTCTCTTGTTCTTGTTTTTTGGCACACAAGACCAAGCATTTCCATTGAGAATGAACCGTGATTAGCTGAGAACGGTTGCCAGTGCTGCCAGGTAGAGAAAGACAGATGAACTCCTGCTAAAAACAGACGTGTTTGTGGCTGCAACAATGAGGTAAGACGTGTTGACAGACTGAAGATAAGACGAGTTCAGCGGCTCCTACGTGACAATCGAGGAGTTTGACATGCATTCAGATATCTGATGAGAAGCTTTAAACCCAAACATCATGTCTGCATTCTGGAAGAAATGTGAGTTTCTTTCACACTGACACGAAGGTCGTTGACCGTAATGAGTTAACTATCATGAAACAACTCTAACTTATTAGTCCTTACTTTCAAGCAGTGGCCTTTGAACTGAGGCAATCACTGTCCTGTTATGTTATAAAACAGATCAGTGCTGTTATTAAATGACATACTGTTCCAACTTAATGCAAGATATGGGATAACCCTTCAACACCCTTCATGATGAACAGCGTTCAACCGGTTGGTATGTGTCACGAACTGTGAGAAACATTTCTAAATATAACAGCCTGCAGCAGGTGAATCAAGTACAGATCTATAAGCAGATGAACTACCAGATAAGAAAACTATGCAGGTGTGAAACACCTCGATCACTTTTGCAGCTCAATCTTTGCTTTGGATCCATGGTTACATAATCTTTGTTTAACCTGCATAACAGTGTCTAGTTCTCCAGTAGTAGCAGGACACTTTGGCTGCTTGGCAAACCTCCAACTATTAAACCAACAACACAGGTAAGATTTCAAGTAGCTCGCAGCTTCTAAAGACAAAGACCTTCAAACACAATTCAATCCTCTAATTCTCACAAAGCGAAAAAGGCACAAAGCCAAGACTCTCGACATGCATCAATATCTGCTTCACAGGGAAATGGAGGAGAAACTGATTACAGGAAGTGGATGAATGTCGGCCGCCTACATGTCTGAACTTCTAGATTATCACAGAGTTGTATCAGCCGACACAAACTAAAAAGGCCAGGCTGTTGTTTTGTGGATTCTGTAAAAATGTAACCGAGCTGGCAAGTGCTGACAGGAGTGAACCAAAACAAAGATCCGGGTGTTTTTGAATTCTCTTCCTTCTTGTTAATATTGATATTGAGGTGTTTCGTACCGTTAGCGCAGGGGTTGCTGCTGCATCTGTCGATTCTCTTCTCGCAGTTTGATCCCATGAACCCGGTCGGGCATCGGCAGCTGTATCCATCGGAGACGTTTTCCACACATGTTCCTCCATTAAAACACGGTCCATCTGCACAAGTCATGGCGATAATCTCACAGTTTTTCGCGTAGAAACCCTGAGGGCAGGCGCAGGAATAATCATCTTCCAAATCCTGGAGGACAGAAGAGGGAAAAGCAAACATGGTGAGTACGGGTTGACGAGAGAACTCTCTTCTGATTGGTGGATTTCAACCTGTTAAGCCCCAAGCCTGTTTTTCAGGTCTCAGGCTAGAAAATGACATTCCCAAAACAAATGACTATATCTTCCCTTCTCAAAGGGGTACATTAATAATCTTTTTTCTCAAGGCAATGATACACCTGTGAGTTGGATGTAGAAAAGTCAGAATCAATATAGAATTTTTTTATTGTAAAGTAAATTCAGATTGAACATAGTAAAAAACTGTAAATTATGGTGTAGGTCCAAAAACAAACCATTACTTATAGTGAAAACTACCCTTGAATGATGGTAAGGTAGACTAAAAGCTTTAGGAATCCAAACTATAACATATAATAAGTACCCTGTATCGAGATTGATGCAAAACAAGTGAAATTTGACCTTTTTAGAGAGGTTTAGAAAAAAATCCACTTCTGGGGTCATTTGGGTGCATTTTCCATATATATTGATTGATTGATTGATTGAAAAGTTTATTAACAGCTTGTATATTGGGTACAGTACAGTACAGCTCAAAACATACAATTGTTAAGGGGATGCAGACCAGAGAAAGACTTTCGTCTTGTTTACATCAGGGTCCCCCATTTCCAATTCATCATGTCATATAAGACATATTTGACATACAGATGGCTTATTTACAATTTACATACAGGTGGTTTTTTACATACAGATTGCTTATTTACAATTTTCATTTTAGATTTCGTTCTAATACATCCTAACCGGACATTTAAGACATACCAAGTCTACAGATATACAGTTAGTAACAGAGTCTAAAATGCGAGTATATACATAGATGGGGGGGGGGGGGGAAGCTGTCCATTGAACGACAGGTTGAGATTTGTACCATTACCGGGGCCAGTTTTGCAATGCTCTCCCCCAAAGGTGCTCTTTAAGAGAGATTTTGAAGGTAAGTATAGTTTTACTTTCCTTTACAGTTGTGGGAAGAGCGTTCCACCTTGATGTGGCATAATTGCGAAACGTGTATTCCCCCTATATATATATAATCGTTTATTTGGCAGGGACAATGCACAGTAATGAACACTTAAAACATTCAAACGTGTCAAGCGTAACAGTGCCAGATTTAGCTTTGCGCTAATTTTCATCCGCAGTTCCTCTCATAAAACATTTAAGAAAATTACATTTGACAAACATTGCAACAACAAAATACATGATATGCAAAAAGTGCAAAAGAGCAAGAGCAGCACACACAAGTATTTACCACACGCAGGGTTGGGTTGTAACGGAATACATGTAACGGCGTTACGTAATCAGAATACAAAAATCAAGAAACTGTATTCAGCTCGCGTTACATTTGAAAAACGAGTAATCTGATTACAGTTACTTTCGTAAACCTGAAGTGAATACATTTTGGATTACTTATTGGAATTATTGGTGGAAAGATTTCCTCACAACATTTAATATTCATTACTAAAGGAACAGCCGAATCATCACAGCGCACAAAACCTATTACCGCCGCAGATGGACCAAAAAAGCGTTTGAAAAAATATCGCGGGTCCGCTCGCTCAGTGAAACAATAACAACGAAACATGGAGGAACACAAGTCTGCGTTTAAATCGCGTGTGTGTGTGTGTGTATATAGGTGTGTGTGGTTAAAACACATCAGCCTGCGGTCACTCTTTAGCCTAATGATTATTTCTGAAGGTAAACACAGTGAAGGCGGTGCGTGAAAGGCGGTGCGTGAAAGGCGGTGCGTGAAAGGCACTGCGCGGCGCGCTCGTCTTCTCAGAGGCTGAGTTAACCCTCCCGCTGCCTCCTGGTGCTGCAGAGATTTCATGAAGTGAAGGAGGTGTTCCTTCTATAAAGCAGCTGTGGGCAGCAGATACTGTGAGAGTCACAGACATGAATTCATAGATCAAGGCAGATTGGTGCACACTCTCTCCTCTCCTGTTTTGCCAATCCGGTGCTTAAACAAATATAGCTCTACACCCCTGCCCGAAATGTCCTTAAAATGAAGTCCGAGTTTGACATTTTAATTCATGTTCAGAAGGCGACACGCCCGTTCTAAGCCGTGTCCCTCACTCCTCACATCCCAAGCTGCATCCCCAGAGAGTGTATTATGTTGTTACATCGTTTCAGAGGTTATGTTTCAGTTGTGCTCTTGATAAGCCATTAAAACAGTAAAAACACGTTCAGTTTCCTTTTTGTGTCTCCTGTTCACCAAAACATACATCTGTGATGGAAAAATAAAGTAATCCAAAAGTAATCTAAAAGTAATCTGATTACGTTACTGTAACTGTATTCGGATTACTTTCAGAGCCATGTATTCAGTAATCAGTAACTGATTACATTTACAAAGTAACCCTCCCAACCCTGACCACATGGCACTACAATGTAGCAGCAACGACATGTAAAGTGCAAGAGAAGATACCCCTGTGTTAAAGTGCAGTTAGCGGTGATCGCACGTCTGTCTGTTTCTCAACCATTCTTTGAGTTGACCTTTGAACCTATTGAGAGTGGGACGATCCCGTATCTCAGTTGGGAGGCTGTTCCACAAAGAGCTGCCTTTAATGGAGAGGACATTTTGTCCAAAAGTGGTCCGTCTGCGGTGGACCTCACAGTCTCCTCTGGTTTCTGACCTAGTGCAGCGTCCAGTGTGTTTCTGTGGATGAACTCCCCTAAGGACACATACTTTCAAAAGACTTTAAATGGTCAAAGCTCAATACATGGTGTTTCTCCAGGATGGAGCAGTGGTGGTATGAATGTGGCTTTCTGTCAAACACCTGGATAGCTCTCTTGAACAGCTGCTCTCTGGGTTTCAGGTTTGTGGCTCAAGCAAACGACCAGTTAGTCAAACAGTATTCAATGTGGGATGGAATCACACAGTGGAGCTGTGACTTTGCAGCTTTGACACTTAAGAAAGGTCTGATTTGTTTAAAATGTTGCAAGTTGAATTTAACAGTATTGGATACTTTCTTGATATGTTTCTTAAAAGTCAAGTTCGAGTCCAGTGTAAGGCAGCCAGAACAGGAGTAATGTGGTCCCTTTTCCTAACTCTGGTTAGTACACGAGCTGCAGCATTTTGAATCAGCTGAAGCGACTTGACTGACTTCTTGGTACACCCTGATAATACAGAGTTACAATAATCCAGCCTTGAAGTAACAAATGCATGGACTAGTTTCTCTGCATCGTTTTGAGGCAAGATATGCCTGATTTTTGCAAAGTTACGTAGAAGGAAGTAGGCGGTCCTTGAGATTCGATACTTAACAGACCTACTAAATATCAGGTTTAACTCTGAGGAGTAGTGTTGTCACGATACCAACATTTTGGTTTCGATACCAAGTCAAGAATTGCGATTCCGATTCTTTTTCGATACTTTTCTTTAAAAAAAGGGAAACAGTCTTAAATGTAATTGTTGTGCTTTATTTCACACCAGAACCAGAACACAAACTTTTAAACAATGAGAACAATAAACAAAATAAATGACAATAATTCGTATTAAATAAAATTAAGCATCATCTCAAACTACTTTTTTGTTTTATAAAATATAATTTTTTTTATATTATATTAACATGTAATAGTACAGTAATATAAATAATTATTGACAAAATGTATATTGCAGATTTTAGCCACATTGGTAAGTTAGCTAAAAAGATAGCATATTGGACAGTTATCATTGCCATTAATTGCCTCGTCAAACTACGAAAATGTTCGTTTGTCACAAAATAAATTACACTTGTTTGACTTAGATTTGAGGGCATGGGCTGAGCATGATGTAATTATGTTATCTATCACATTCGCTAACCTGTCTGTCTTCAAATTATTTAAACAGCTCTGGATTCCGGTCGGCGGGTGCTTAGCCAAGTCTGATGTGTTGGCTCCCTTGGTTTGCAGGGATCTAAAACATGTCTCACAGACAGGCCTCGTGGTGTCCGTAGGCTTGCCCTCACTGTCAGAGATATCGCTCAAATACTTCCACATTTCGCTTCTGGCGTCTTTTTTGTCAACAAGCCGAGGCGCAACAGCAGCTGCACTCCCACTTGCAGCCATGCTTCTCGTTTTCTCACATGCTCTGGCAGCTAGCGCGTGGCCGCGTGCACGAGAGAGGGGAGGGACTTAGAACGTGCTTGAGAGGGGCGGGACTGCAGGCACGGCTGCAGTGCAGAGAGTGGAAGCAGAGCGCTGAACACACACGGCTCTTATTAAACAGCGCTTTCTCACCGGAGTACTTTTCCCCGTCATTCTTAAAGTACCGATACTAATGAAACGGAGGAATCGTACCGTTTTTAACGGCAGGGTATCGCGGTACCTTTCAAGTATCGGTACACCGTGCAACACAAAGAAGGAAGTAGGCGGTCCTTGAAATTGATTTTATGTGGGCGTTAAAGGATAAATCCTGATCAAATATAACACCAAGATTCCTTACAGTCTCACTGGAGGCCAAATTAATGCCATCCATAGTTAGTATATGTTTAGATAATTTGTTTCGAGTACAATAACTAGAAATCCGCTGTTTATTGTTTAAAGTTTTACGTCCGACTCGCTCCTTTTTCCCTCTCTGTGCACAGCTCCAGTTTGGGCATTGGCCTGTCATCAGATTTCATTTTGAGCTGCTTCCTGTAGCGGAAGTTTAGTAAAATTATTTTTGATGAAATACTCCAAATCTCCACCCTCCATAATTGCACTTGCTTCAGTTGCTTGCTACTTTTTAAGGGCAGTGATGACAGTTACAGTACGAACTGAAGTTGATGCGATTTGATTGGATTGTGAGGCATGACGTGCATCATCTGATTGGTCAATCCCTCAATTCTTTTCACCAAGGGAAGCCAATTTCGGCTGGCCTCCTCTCGCAACAGAGTGCAATCTACTGTTTCACCATAACATCTAGAGGGGCGCTGTTTCACTCTTTGTAAAATACTCAATGAGAATGGGGGAGAGACGGGCCGGCGGAATAATTACCGAAACTAAACGAAGTGTTTTTAT